TTGGCAGGAGGATCAGGTCAAAGCACGGGCACCCCAAACCGAGCTCAGGCCCTGAGCGATGTCCCGAAGCGCAGAGGTGCTCCTGCAGCTGTGCTGCGGAGAGAGACCCCGTAGGCTGATGCTGAAGGCCTCGGGCTCTCAAAGGAAGATGTATTGAGAGAATAAGAGGGCACTGAGTCCCGTTATCCCTAGACGGTTTTCCTGAGAGAAACGAGTCAGTCCAATCATGTCTCAAATGACCTTTTAAGTCCTAGGAAGGCTCGAAAATCTATTTCTAATTAAGTATTTGACGCCTGTTCTAACGTGGGTACTAATATTATGTCAGATTTGTGATACGGTGTGTTCCATGTGCACATACAGAGTATATTGGAGTCCTTTGTGCAGCCAATCATGTGGGGTTCAAAGGTTTGCATGTTTAAAAATTGTTTCATGACTGAGACAGTGTGACACGGTATGTGCCCAGAGGAGACCCCCACATTTTCTGGATGTTATTTCACTGATCAGTAAGAAGGAAGGGTTGTTGGGGCTAATCTCTTAAAATCTGAGTCATGGAACCTCACCCTGCTCTTTTAAACGAGATGTGTTGTATCTCTGTTTTACAAGCTCTTTTTATAGCTGGAATTTGTAGGAAGCCAAGGTCAGGTTTTGGAACAGAACCCCCAGTTACAACGTCATTCCTAAGGGAAAATGGGACCCGCTTTCTAGTGCCACTTGGAGGATTGCATTGTGGGGCGGAGATCAACAGACATCACGTTTACTTCATTGATAGAACTTTAAGCATTTGTTGTGCACTTGTTGTGTGCTGGGCGTGCACTCAAAGATGGCTCTCTCAATCTGAAAATGGAGTTAGTAAGAGCATGACTTCATAGGGTTGTTGAGAGTAAGGCTTCATCGAATGAATATGTCCAAAATGTTAAAAAAAAAAAAAAAAGAAAGAAAAAGAAAAACTATAGTGGCTGAGGTGTCATTGTCATCACCATTATGGATCCTGTGTCATAATGACTGGTGGTGTGGTTCCGGTCTTAGGGTCCTCCCCAGCCTGTACACAGTGTCAAGTGTGGAGGGTGGGCAGCGGCAGGAAGGGCAGCTGGGCGCTCTGACGTGGAGTTAGCAAGCACACTGTGACCCGTGTAGGGGACCCTTCAGTGATGCAGGAATCTCACATTAACAGACCTGCCTTTTGCCTTTTTTGACTGACTTGCCAGCTGCAGTTCTCTTTGCTGATATGGAAAAATCCCAACTACATTATTACATTTAAAGAAAAAAAGTGCCAGATAAATAACACATCATGTTT